CCTCAACTTTCTGATCCTTTTAATCGATTTATTCTTCTCTTCAGAATCGGTGTCTCACTTCTAGCTACGTTCAACTGTCAGAAAGGGCATTCAATTAAATTATAATTTTCTAGCTATCATCACGAATCACCTTTTTTACCTTCTAGTAATCCTCAAACTAAGGCACTCATGATCGAGTGACTCAACATACTCAGATACGTATCTTCGAGATTCTCCCGCGTCACTCTATCATCGACAATCTATTCCTGAGTGAATCTATTCCTGAAGATCCGCCCTTTCGAGTGGGTGACCCACAACACTCAGGAAATCCTCACGACATGCCTTTTCTGAGCAGGTGTCCCGTCATGCTCAATAACCTGGCGATCCTCAAGATCCGCTTTCTTCGAGTGAGTGTTCCGCCACACTCAGGCAATCCTCACGACTTGCCTTTTCTGAGCGGGTGTCCCGCCGCGCTCAATAACCTGGCGATCCTCAAGATCTGCCTTCTTCGAGTGGGTGTTCCGGTAGAACGTATAATAAAAAAAAATCCTTTACTACTTCCGGAAGTAGCTTTCCAACGGGCGTTCAAACTTGTGGAAAAACAAATCCACAGACCTTTCTTACGTGCGTCCCACTTCGTCACTAAAGGTTTGCAGTAATCTTTCCACCGGGCGTCCCACACCATGGCAAAGATAGTCTTCTAGTGGGCATCTGACACCACTGTTCACCAACGAGCGTCCCACTTCGTAGCATACTTATCTTCCATCAGGCGTCCCATTCTGCGGAAGATTTTTCTTCATAGTCGTCCAATCACTGAATAATCATTCCACCGGGTGTCCCACACCGTGGCAATGATTACATAACTTAGCCGTCTCGAACCATTTTTTCCACGGGCGTCCCACCACGTGTTTGATACCTGTTATGATTGCTGCAAAAATGATTATACAACTAAGACAACACGGCAATCATACTACACTGCAGGAAACTATTATCACGTTTGAAAGACAACGTAACGAAGAAAAAAAACAATCACTATTAACGCGTCAAAGCAAAACAAAATGTCTTCTCAAGAACATTTACAATGCACACTTTTTTCTTTTTTTTTTGTTGGTATCATTCCATTCCACTCGCGGTTCGCGGTCCGCGCTTCACACTTTCTCATAGACCAGAGGAAAATTTGACGAATATACACGTGGGACTTTACGATTAGCCTTTCTTTTAAATAACACTTCAATTTCCACTTTTTAGCCCTCTCAAATCGTTGGGTGATTCTAATGGAAAATTTATTTTAACACTGGATAGTAGCTAAAACCTGACAGGATCGCAATTGTGAGGTTTTGACCGTATCCCACCGGAATCACCCAACCCTTTTGGAGAGCAGGCACAACCTATCTATTCAACTGCACTGCGACGAAAGAGGACGAACGAGATGCTTGCTGATTGAAGCGTCGTTGGGTGGTCAGATTAAAGAGGATGAATAGATTCATCCTGTTCATCCAGTTGACAGCTCGTCGAGGGGTTCTCCAATGGATATTGCACTATGACTGAATGATAATCCATTAAGTCCGTCAAATCGTGTTGGTGTCTTCGGAGCACTTATTGCTTGTATAATAAGGAATGAGTGCACCGAGAGCCGATTATAAGAAAACTCGCATTTCTATCACCCTTTTTAGAAAGTGAAAATTCGCTTATTTTTCCACTTTGATGTGAAGGCCACAATAAAACGATAAAACTGTACGCTGGTTTTTTTTCCAGAAATATATCTAAATTCTTTATTAAAATACAACTGCGTGTGCTCGACGTGGTACTGGAATAAGCATTAAATTTTAGCTAGATATCTCCAAATAATTACCATTGTAACATACACTGCACAAACGCATTGAAACCACTAGGGAAAAGCCGGCGCTATTCCGCAAAACTCTAGCCATTTTTTTTGCGAAGTTCAGCGTTTTTCGGAAACCTGAAAAAAAACTCATATTGTTACACTTCGTTGCAATTCCATGACCACGGTTAAGGCAAAACTTTTTCAAAAAATGTTCATCAGTTCACTGAGAATTCAAACAACGTAAACAAACTAACTCGTAGCGTAGACAACGATGAAGTCACACACAAAGCTAGAACATGTTGCTTCATGGCAAGTGTTGACAGCTTTTGTAAACAAAACAAATCACGTTGCCAAATCGTCTCATAATAGTTCCGCGAATCTCTATACATAGCCCCAGTAACAGTTGTGGTTTTATGAGGGTTCTGTAGACCACGATTTAGACTTATAGAATGCTCGATAAAACTTGCAATGTTACTTGGGTAGGATTACTAATCTGGAGGTTCGGATTTTGACCCCACCCTTTCCCTCTCCCAGGAACAGAAGAAAATGGAACAACAGTTAGTGTCAAGAAGCTCAGTGAAGGATACATTTATTCATACAACAGGCCACCATTACCGAGCATGGAAAGCTGGATAGAGCTTTTGACGTTAAATTTGAAACAACAACAATTGACGCCAACGTTTCTATGACGTGACAATCAGTTTTAAAGAAACAACTTTACTAATCCAGTAAATGTTGAAGTTTAACGCTTAATTAATTTTAGTAAGACAAAGACCTCAAAATATTCAATGTCTTGAAGATTGAATTCCACGTGCAAGTTAAAAATAGTGAAAATTTTCAAAGTGCCAGAATTAAGGGGGGGAAATAAATCGTGTATTTCAAGTTTGTGATTAACTCTATGAAATAATAGAGATCTTCAGTGAAGTGGCATTAACATTACAGTAGTAGCTTTGCAAAACTGTTGAGAAATGAAAGGAAATGCTGAGAATTTCAGTGAAGCTTCATAGACAAACTACGGGAACATAGCCCGCGTAAATGCGAACCATTACTTGACCTTTCCAAAAAAAATTCTTAAAAATTGAAAACTGAAATGGTTATGGAACTTTACATGAACGTCTGTTTGATAAAGTTTTAACCTTATGTATTATGGTTTTTAGGCAATGAACCTTGCAAATAATGGGTTGTTAAGAACCATTACCATTCCCAATTCTTGTTCTCCCAATACATTTTTGGGCAAGGAATTATAGTTGAACTATTTTATTTATGACTTGAGAACTTTAATGGTAATGGTTATGGCAGTCGGTAAGGTCTATAGATGGTTTAGTAACATCGATCAACTTTATGGGGAATATATCGCGAATTGGTAGCTTGCAAATTACTGATTACCAATTCGCGATATATTCCACGTAAAGTTGACCGATAATACAAAACCATTCATGGACCAAACTCACTAGCATAACCATTACCATTAATGTTCTAAAACCATAAGTAAAAAGGTTCGAATATAGTCCTCTCTCCAAAAATGTATGGCGAAAACAACAATGTTGAATGGTATTGGTTCTTAACAACCCATTATTTGTAAGGTTCACTTCCAAAGAACCACAATACATAAGGGTAAAACTTTATCACACAAACTTCGTTCATGTAAAGTTCAATAACCATTTCAGTTAAAGTTTAGTAGGGATTATAAACAATTTTTAACCATTTTCGGTAAGGTCAAGTTATGGTTCGCGTTTATGCGGGAAGGTAAGTTAACATCTTGAAAATATGGGGAACCTACCTTTAAAAAGTTCCTAGAATTTCAGATAACTTCGCTGGTGTCAAGAGGACTTCAGAAACATAGAGAACAATTCCATTAATGTTTTTAGATGGAAAATTAATCTTAAAATTTGGCAACACTGTGAACAAGTTATTCTTGATTTCATGGTATCTTGCAACAAAAAAAAAACCTTTAAAAAAGTAGGCGAGAAAAATGAGTTCATTTACTCAGGCTCTGAACCATTTGGTGGATTATTTTAACTTTTGGTTAAAATTTGACAGATGGAAAGTTATCGATTAACCCTGCTATCCGAGCGTGGTTACTTCTGGCAGACAAGAAGTTAAATTTAGACAACCTTGGCTAAGTTCCTCTCGAAAACCGGTCGATCGACAGCACAGGGATTTTCGAACATAGAAAATGTCACTTTTAACCACGAGGTAAATTTAACTCGGCAACTGGTTCACAGCCTTAGAAGAGCGGGTGGTACAGATTTTTAAAGAATATTGTTTCTCATTCTTTCATTGCTTCAAAATGCTGTATTTCAAGAAATACGCAAATTACTTTTTGCTGATAAGTGTTTCTTATATAAAAACGATGGTGTTGTCAAATTGGAAATCTAAATATATTCATTCAGAGAAATTTGTGTTTCTAATTTTTAAACGCATAAATTAAATATTTGGCAACACTGAACAAACATAATAGATGCTTATTTAGATTTTTTGTCGAATTTTCTCATTAAAAGATTTTAAAATGTTAATTGTAGCCTTATTTGTTCCGAAGAATTGATAAAAGAAGGTAGTACTTTCTTGAAAATTACGGAAAATAGGAAACGCTCATCTAGACCAAGGGGCGCTTCGATCGGCACAAATATTTGGGTTCATAAAAGATATACCAAAATAAATATCTCCTCCAAATTTGGTCCAAATCGGAAGAGGTCAATAACACTTTTGTATTTTTTCTTGGTCACTTGGCGCAGAATCACCCGTATTTCATTCAGCAAAGGTCAATATTCCGTACAAATCGTTTCTTCTTTCGTGTACATGTTTAGCTTATAAACAAAATAATAGAATGCGCCGTGGTCAAATTACAAGTTGTGCTATTTCTTTTTTATTGCATGAAAATAACTTTGTCACCAATTGCTAATACTGGAGAACCATCAATAAACATTCACGAGAACCTTAATTTACAGCCAGATCTACTGCGTAGCCCCGAGCACAATTGAAACATTACCGTTCTCCCCATTCTCCGAACATTCCATTTTCGTGTGTTTTTATCAAACAAATCGCATCGTTTCGTATTTCGGAAACCGGTGGCACGCGCCCGAATCGCTCACAGCTCCGGAAGCAATAACACCGGCACGAGACACGCATACTGAATAGCCAGCCATACCTGCACACATGCTGCTGCCTGTTCTCTTCAATCAATAGGAAAACTTACTTGAGCAGAACGCCACTGAATGCCATTCCAATGGGGACGCCCAGCGAGAAGCATAGGTTAACGATACCGATGCGCAGCGTCCGCTCCTTGGTGGTTGTCACGTCCGCAATGTAGCTGAAGACACCCATAAACATCGTGAACCAACCGCCGGTAAGAGCAGGGAATAGGGCTTCCGTAACGGCTGCCGCCTCCATGGGAAGCCACTCGAAGTAGGTGCACAGGATGAGCCCAATGGCCGTAGTAAATTCACCAATAATCGGAATCAGAATGCACGGTTTTCGACGACCGTGGCGATCACTCCACGCGCCCCAGAACAGGATCAGCAGACAGGGCAGGGAACTCTGCAGCACGGTTTTCCAACCGGCCATCCGAGCTACCATCTGCTGGACCACGGCTTCTTCTCTGCAAATTGAAATAAGGTTGACCAAATGTACTGGTATATTTAAAAAGGTGTAAACTTACACTGTATAATTGGCCGTGTCCCTCCTAGTCAGAGCATCGCAAACCACTTCCCCATAGTTGAGATTCACGCGACAAGCTTTCTCCAGGTTGAGATTCTGCGTGGCGAGCCCAGCCAGCACGCTGGGCATGATGTAGCAGGCCACTATGGGCTCCACCGTGATATTGTTCTTAAAGTAACGTAGCTTATCCATTATTGTACTTTTCTTCTTTGGCTTCGATTGCTGCTGCTGCTGTTCTGGAATCTCTTGCTCTTGTTTCTCCAGCTGCTGCTGCAGCTGTTTACCCTTCGATTTATCATCACTCATTTTATAGCCTCGTGAGAAATGCTATCGGAAAGCAATCACCCCCCTTCCCTTCCACGTTCATATGTGAACAAGCGTGCGTGATTCAGTTTATAGCGACCATCCGACTGTGGAAATAACAGGAAATAATGTTCGTTTCAAATTAAGTTCTATGATCTTCTCTGTTCTTTAGGGATTGTATTGCGAGTAGTGACTGATTGATGTAAAAAATAATCGTTGCATCGGCCGGGAATCGAACCCGGGCCGCCCGCGTGGCAGGCGAGCATTCTACCACTGAACCACCGATGCTTGTACGAAATGGTTTCGAGCCAAGCAATCTAACCGTACAGCAAGAATGAATGATTCGCAGTATTTCAACTGTTATCGTGATCAAGGGTACTTATCATTATTCTAGTAAACGTTAACACCTAGTCTGTGTGATCAGATTATTACGCATAGTCGCCTACCATGCTTGCACAAGCCATGACACAAGTAGTAAAGTAGCAAACGAAACGAGAAACGTGTGCCACCAAAAAATATTAAAGCACTCCAAGTGGTGATGCAGGTAAATGAACAAGCAACCGCTATGTTGGTGAAAGGATGCTATTTTTAAAACCGGTACGTTTGCTTTTAGTTACGGATAGAAGAAGCACGAAGAAGATGCTAATCACGATTATGATGCTGACGGAAGAAGTTGAATCGGCTGAACACTTGAAAGGTGCTTCAGGAAATCACTGCCGTGGGGTCTGCGGGGTAAATTGCGTCACCCGTTGCACCCGTGGATGCATTGTTATCTTTGTTTCACACCTAGTTAAGTTGAAACATAAGCAGTATACTATGTTCTTATACAATTAATAACATTAATTACGTTTTATGAAGTACTAAAAGGCTACTACAAAACAACATTCATAAAATCCTGGTCAATACAGCTTAATCTTTATTACATCCACCAAAACCTAATTAAGACTAGAAACTGTCTAGTTGATCCACCCTGGAGAAAGTTTTGAAGGGCATATTTTCGAGGCACTTCAAGATTGATTTGCTGCAAACAGGTTAAACGATGAAAGCATTTGGACCTTTGAAATCCTCATTAAAACTACAATAAAAGCCAGATGCTCGAAATTTTCATACCCGGATTTCTCAGTATATAATTTTACAAAATCTTTTATTTGTCGGCTGGTGGGCCTTGCAAACTTTTAAGTCGATTTATCTCCGTAAATATGGCTCTAGTCGCGAAAAGAAGGGTGTTCAGATGCTCGAAATTTTCATACCCTGATTTTTCAGTATAAAATCTATTATTTGTCGGCTGATGGGCCTGCCAGACCTTTAAATCGATTTATCTCCGTAAATATGGCTCTAATCGCAAAAAGAGGGGTGTTCAGATTCTCGAAATTTTCATACCCGGATTTCTCAGTATATTATTTTACAAAATCTTTCAATTGTCGGCTGATGGGCCTGCCAGACCTTTAAATCGATTTATCTCCGTAAATATGGCTCTAGTCGCGAAAAGAAGGGTGTTCAGATGCTCGAAATTTTCATACCCTGATTTTTCAGTATAAAATCTATTATTTGTCGGCTGATGGGCCTGCCAGACCTTTAAATCGATTTATCTCCGTAAATATGGCTCTAATCGCAAAAAGAGGGGTGTTCAGATTCTCGAAATTTTCATACCCGGATTTCTCAGTATATTATTTTACAAAATCTTTCAATTGTCGGCTGATGGGCCTGCCAGACCTTTAAATCGATTTATCTCCGTAAATATGGCTCTAATCGCAAAAAGAGGGGTGTTCAGATGCTCGAAATTTGTATACCCGCATTTCTCAGTATATTTTTATAAAATCTTTAATTTGTCAGCTGATGGGCCTGCCAAACCTTTAAATCGATTAATCTCCGTAAATATGGCTCTAATCGCAAAAAGACGGGTTTTCAAATGCTCGAAATTTTCATACCCGGATTTCCCTGTATATTATTTTATAAAATCTTTTATTTGTCGGCTGGTAGGCCTGCCAGACCTTTAAATCGATTTATCTCCGTAAATATGGCTCTAATCGCAAAAAGAGGGGTGTTCAAATGCTCAAAATTTTCATAGCCGGATTTCCCAGTATATAATATTGTAGAATCTTTAATTTGTCGGCTGATGGGCCTGCCAAACCTTTAAATCGATTCATCTCCGTAAATATGGCTCTAATCGCAAAAAGAGGGGTGTTCAAATGCTCGAAATTGTCATACCCGGATTTCCCAGTATATAATTTTATAAAAGCTTTAATTTGTCGGCTGGTAGGCCTGCCAGACCTTTAAATCGATTTATCTCCGTAAATATGGCTCTAATCGCAAAAAGAGGGGTGTTCAGATGCTCGAAATTTTTATACCCGGATTTCTCAGTATATAATTTTATAAAATCGTTTATTTGTCAGCTGATGGGCCTGCCAGACCTTTAAATCGATTTATCTCCGTAAATATGGCTCTAATCGCAAAAAGAGGGGTGTTCAGATGCTCGAAATTTGTATACCCGGATTTCTCGGTATATAATTTTATATAATCTTTAATTTGTCAGCTGATGGGCCTGCCAAACCTTTAAATCGATTTATCTCCGTAAATATGGCTCTAATCGCAAAAAGAGGGGTGTTCAAATGCTCGAAATTGTCATACCCGGATTTCCCAGTATATAATTTTATAAAAGCTTTTATTTGTCGGCTGATGGGCCTGCCAGACCTTTAAATCGATTTATCTCCGTAAATATGGCTCTAATCGCAAAAAGAGGGGTGTTCAGATGCTCGAAATTGTTATACCCGGATTTCCCTACATATTATTTTATAAAATCTTTAATTTGTCGGCTGGTAGGCCTGCCAGATCTTTAAATCGATTTATCTCCGTAAATATGGCTCTAATCGCAAAAAGAGAGGTGTTCAAATGCTCGAAATTGTCATACCTGGATTTCCCAGTATATATTTTTATAAAAGCTTTTATTTGTCGGCTGATGGGCCTGCCAAACCTTTAAATCGATTTATCTCCGAAAATATGGCTCTAATCGCAAAAAGAGGGGTGTTCAGATGCTCGAAATTTTCATACCCGGATTTCGCAGTACACAATATTACAAAATCTTTTATTTGTCGGCTGGTGGGCCTGCCAGACCTTTAAATCGATTTATCTCCGTAAATATGGCTCTAATCGCAAAAAGAGGGGTGTTCAGATGCTCGAAATTTGCATACCCGGATTTCTCAGTATATAAAAATACAAAATCTTTTAATTGTCGGCTGGTGGGCCTGCCAGACCTTTAAATCGATTTATCTCCGTAAATATGGCTCTAATCGCAAAAAGAGGGGTGTTCAGATGCTCGAAATTTGCATACCCGGATTTCTCAGTATATAAAAATACAAAATCTTTTAATTGTCGGCTGGTGGGCCTGCCAAACCTTTAAATCGATTTATCTCCGTAAATATGGCTCTAATCGTAAAAAGATGGGTGTTCAGATGCTCGTAAATTTTCATACCCGGATTTCCCATTACATAATTTTACAAAATCTTTTATTTGTCGGATGATGGGCCTGCCAGACCTTTAAATCGATTTATCTCCGTAAATATGACTCTAATCGCAAAAAGAGGGGTGTTCAAATGCTCGAAATTTTCATACCCGAATTTCCCAGTAAATAATATTACAAAATCTTTTATTTGTCGGCTGGTGGGCCTGCCAAACCTTTAAATCGATTTATCTCCGTAAATATGACTCTAATCGCAAAAAGAGGGGTGTTCAGATGCTCGAAATTTTCATACCCGGATTTTCCAGTATATAATTTAACAAAATCTTTTATTTGTCGGCTGATGGACTTGCCAGACCTTTAAATCGATTTATCTCCGTAAATATGGCTCTAATCTCAAAAAGAGGGGTGTTCAGATGCTCGAAATTTGTATACCCGGATTTCTCTGTATATAATACCATAAAATCTTTTATTTGTCAGCTGATGGGCCAGCCAAACCTTTAAATCGATTTATCTCCGTAAATATGGCTCTAATCGCAAAAAGAGGGGTGTTCAGATGCTCGAAATTTGTATATCCGGCTTTCGCAGTATTCAATATAACAAAATCTTTTATTTGTCGGCTGATGGGCCTGCCAAACCTTTAAATCGATTTATCTCCGTAAATAAGGCTGTTCAGATGCTCGAAATTTTCATACCCGGATTTCCCAGTATATAATATTACTCTAATCCTAAAAAGATGGGTGTTCAGATGCTCGAAAATTTTCATACCCGGATTTCCCATTACATAATTTTACAAAATCTTTAATTTGTCGGATGATGGGCCTGCCAGACCTTTAAATCGATTTATCTCCGTAAATATGGCTCTAATCGCAAAAAGAGGGGTGTTCAGATGCTCGAAATTTGTATATCCGGATTTCGCAGTATTCAATATAACAAAATCTTTTATTTGTCGGCTGATGGGCCTGCCAGACCTTTAAATCGATTTATCTCCGTAAATATGACTCTAATCGCAAAAAGAGGGGTGTTCAAATGCTCGAAATTTTCATACCCGAATTTCCTATATATTATTTAAAAAAATCTTTTATTTGTCGGCTGATGGGCCTGCCAGACCTTTAAATCGATTTATCTCCGTAAATAAGGCTGTTCAGATGCTCGAAATTTTCATACCCGGATTTCCCAGTATATAATTTTATAAAAGCTTTTATTTGTCGGCTACCAGACCTTTAAATCGATTTATCTCCGTTAATATGGCTCTAATCGCAAAAAGAGGGGTGTTCAAATGCTCGAAATTTTCATACCCGGATTTCCCAGTATATAATTTTATAAAACTTTTATTTGTAAGCTGATGGGCCTGCCAGACCTTTAAATCGATTTATCTCCTTAAATATGGCTCTAATCGCAAAAAGAGGGGTGTTCAGATGCTCGAAATTTTCATACCCGGATTTCCAAGTATTAAATTATACAAAATCTTTTATTTGTCGGCTGGTGGGTCTGCCAAAACTTTAAATCGATTTATCTCCGTAAATATGGCTCTAATCGCAAAAAGAGGGGTGTTCAGATGCTCGAAATTTTTATACCCGGATTTCCCAGTATTAAATTATAGAAAATCTTTTATTTATCGGCTGGTGGGCCTTGCAAACCTTTAAATCGTTT